TATGTGTGTGTGCGTCTGTGTATCTGTGTGCTCTGTGTGTGTGTGTGCGTGTGTGTGTGTGCGTGTGTGTGTGTGTGTTGTGTGTGTGTTTGCGCTTGTGTGTGTGTGTGCGTGTGTGTATGCGTGTCTGTGTCTGTGTCTGTGCTAGTGTGTATGTATGTGTTTTTGTGTATGTGTATACGTATGTGTGATGTATGTGTGCATTCTTAACTATACGTACAAATACATTTGTATCGACAAACTACTGTTAAAACTGCTTTGAACTGAACTTCGCGTACACACGTAGCAACTTACCGGGTGCGTCATCTGGGTAGAAGTAGAGGGGAAGCCCACCGAATAGTAAGCCATCGTATGTAGATATAGTCACATATCCCGGGTTACGGAACACAGATGCTCGAGGGATGGATTCGTCGATTTCAATAGTGCAATTACTGTCCGCCTCGACATACGGCCAATCCGGGCCAATAAACTGCGCTTTTCCGTCGTATTTAGGATCTGCGCCTAAGGCATCTGAGTCTGGTTCATAGTAGTATACACACTTAGATTCTGCGGTTGCCGGACCCCCTAAAGTAAAACCTTCTCTGGCCCCGGTAGCTATGATCGCAGGTGCATCCTCAAGACCACTGGGTATTTGACCTCCGTAATCAACATTCTGTAATAGAGAGATCACAACAGCACATTGTGCATTCACCACTAGCCCACAGCCGGTCAATGAAATCACGCATCGCCACATCGTATACGCTACAGAGTCACAGTATGCTTGAGTGATAAACGGTGTTATTTTATGACAATACGATACAATAATTAGGACGGTCACAGGGAATCTTTTATATACTCCGTATCATTATGCTGCTCTCGAGATGATATCACAGCTGCATCTGTGCATCATTGGTGTGATTGTATTTAAATATGCCTGTATCAGAATCCAGGATCCAGATTCGGCAGACAGACGCTATTTTAAAATTATCGCCTCCCATCAGATTTGTTTACTTTTCAGAAGGCTAAATATGTCAGAATCCAGTTGCGTTGTTCAAAGAATTTGTACTTTTTGTTAATAAAAAAAATAGCCTCTGTTTCATGTTTGATTTCAGTCTTTTTAGAAGGCTATGCTCATATCAGAATCTATTTATAAAGTTCCTTTTTCATAGTTTCCTGAAGGAGGGCTGAAATTCTGAAACGTTTCAAGAACATCCGTGACAGTCTGACAGTCTGACAGAGCCTCAGTCCTCAGAGGGCCCCAGAACATCAGCCGCCTAGTCTGAAGTCTGAGCTAGATTTCAGATTTATGTATGCCCAAAAACCCTTTTTTTTTAAACCTTAACTTCTGGAATCTGCAGTCCCAAGTCCCAAGTCCCAAGCTCCCGGTATTTAAGGACGTGGACTGAGGTTTGAGAGTTTCAATCTTGTTTTTTTTTTTGCATAAATATTTACAGTCTCACTCAGTCTCACAGACTCACAGTCTCACAGACTCACAGTCTCACACTGTGTCTCTCAGAGACTCAGACTCTCATCAGTCTCTTCTTCTTGTGACTTGTAGTTGTGCCTCCTTCTTGTTTTGTTTTTGTTTTTTTTTGAACATAATCCTAATAGGGCCTGGCGGTTGGCCGGGTGGGGGAGGGATAGTTTACGTTCTGGACGGGAGGGACTAAAAGTTGGAAATGTTTCTTTCATAATCAGAAATTCAAAAAGAGAACAAAATGCAGGATTTTTTTTTGTAAAATTGATTCGTTTTCGTGGACGTGAAGTACAGGACCTGTTCTCTAAAAACTCGTCCATAAATTACACTATTTTAACGTTCAACACTACATATTCAGTTTCCGTTAGTTATCGGTACGTGACGTCATTATAATGGACGTTCAAGTTACTCCCAAACAAGAGGCTTTACAAAGCCTTTTGATAAACTTCTATGGTCTATATATACGCAAATACAACCCACCCTTTTTGGATCAACAGCACACATTCTCTCCACAAATATAGTAATGAAGGGACAGGGGTTTTTTTACGAAAGAAAAATACTACAGAATCAACCTCTTATTTCCTTTTTTGGTTTTGTCAGCTCGGGCACTCGGGGTTGCCTGTGGCGTTAAAGTTAACCGCGTTATTTACATATTATGTTTGTTTCGAAAATAAGCTTGTAAATAAAAAGATAGACAACGTCTACCTCCAACTTCATACACTATATACATCACACCACGAAACCCAAAATGAGCGATCTAGACGGTCTGAAATGTGTGCATATCGAAGGCGTTAAAAAACCCTTCCTGCTGATTATCGGTAGTAAAGGTTTCTTAAGTTGTGGATATGTCAACCCAGAGGCATGTTCGGTAACAGGAGATGCGGTAGGTATCTTCAAGGGTGTGAGCACACATGATGATATACTCAATTCGGAATGCAAAGCTGTGAGTGATCCTGGAGCTGCGTTGGGTATGAAAGTCGGTATGTCTGGCCGTGATTGCGTTAATCTAATAAGATAAACACATCGGTGAACTTTTTGTGATAGCGAATGAAGCTGCCATGGAAGTAGTAACTCGGTAGGTATCCAAAGAAGTATGAACTCATGAGAAGATATCTTCTATACCGGAATGCCAGGTGATCGGGCGAACTGGGTGACAATGGACGGACAGGTTATGCATAGAGTGCAAGAGGCATATCAAATTGAACCGAGTACTAGAACCGACGATTATATACTTACTAAGAAATCCAAATAAAGTATCTTTTAAAAGTATATATATATATATATATATGTGTGTGTGTGTGTGTGTGTATTTATATATTATATATACATATATATATCAGTGTGTGTGCGTGTGTTATTTATATAT